CCACCACCACCACCACCACTACCTCTGTTGCCCGCGTGTTGATCGAACCCGCGCCAGAGAGTCCGGTTTTGTCTAAACCCTAAACCATCTCAGGAAGAGCTGTGGCGTCTCGGGCTTCCGCTTCGACGCAGCAAAGCCCATGGGATGCAGAGGGAGGGTTTTTGACAGGATTCGTCCGGCATCACGGGCGTGGGGGTTTGATTGAAGGTTTGGGGCTCAAGTTCGACGGTTTGAAGGAAACACAGCCCGGCCCCTCAGTTTCGTGTTTTGGTCGTGGGATGTTGGGATATCCTTCATGAACTTGCTACCTTGGGGTTCTGTGCATCGGGAGCAGCAGGTTCCGGGTTTCGGTTTCCATGGACCAGGGTTTTGCGAGTTTGCGAGCGGAGGGATTTCCAGTTGGGCTGTTGGGGTGGAGGTCCCGAGTGCTTTTGTTGGTGTAGAGTGCAGACTGGTTTAAACAAAGCCTTGGAGTGTGTTTCTAATTCTGTGTTGGTGGGTAACGTCAGGATTTCGTTTCAACTTTGTGGTATTTGTTTTTTAAGAGTTTCTCAACAGCCGTCAAGTATGTCATCTCATCGAGAACTTCTGATGCGGGATGGGAGAATGTCAGTAGCCAGAAGGGACTGTCTTTGCCGGTAGGAACAGAAGTGCGATCCCCTGAGCTCGGAACTCCTAGTCAACGTAGCCCATTAAATCGAGAGAAGATCGTCACTGAAGAAAGATGGCTATCCCTGTGGACCCTAAGCCCTAGACCCCGAACTGCGCGCCATGCCTCATACCTTCTGAAGGCACATGCGGCCCGAGCATATCGCGCAGTATGTGGACAAGGCGGATGTCTACGCCTATGGCGAGGCTGGGGGTTTGTGTATCTTAAGCCTTAAGCATGGAGGTCATTCGGGTTTGAGACTGTGGGCCTGGAGTTCGGGCTGGAATTTAGGAGCTAGAATCTCGCTACGTCTCTGGGCATTGATCGGGATCTCGCGAATGTCGAGTTTCGAGCCAAACTTGGATTGAAGGTTTCAAGCAATCGCAACCACATCGTAGAGTCTGAAGGCTTCGGGTGGAGGGTTCAGCTTTCAAGGATCCACGATAGCTTTTCTGTTGGGGCCTTGAGCACGATCGTCCTGAGCATCATCACCTTCATCCCGGTCTTGCGTATCATCATGACAACCGTCATCTCCATGCCACATGAGCAGCACGACAGACAGCAGGTGCAAGTCCGGCACGGTGAATGCTGGCTAGTGCTAGCGCGAGTGAATGGTGCGGGTAGTGATAATGCCAACAACATTGCCAGCGATGAAGGATCAGTTTAACATATCGACAGAAGAAACGCCATCGATAGCCAGCATTGTCACTGTCATCGCTCATCACCAGCACCAGCACCTTCTGCATCACCAGCATCATCACCGGCATGACAACCAACAGCATTCTCAGCATCACCATCGAAAGCAAAGTCATATTCAGGCTTGAAGCTTCAGTGCAGCTTTCCACCCCTTCAGCCCTCCGACAGTTCACCTCGAGGCACAAGCTTCCAAACCTAATGCGCTCCACCTACGGATCTGCAACCCTGCGCTGAAAAGCTGACCCGTGTGCCCGAAGACCAGCCTCCTAAGTTCTTTGCCGGCTTTGAAGGGTTCTGAATCGGAACTTGTCGACTGTAAGCCCTCAGCCTTAATCATAAGCTATGCATGGTTGCCAGTGTTACTATTGATACTATTGTTGTTATGAAGACGATGATGAAGACGATGATGACGATGATGATGATGATGATCATGATGATGATGATGATGATTACTATCATTATTATCAGCATTATCATTACTACGACCACTACCACTACTACTAGTACTTCTAGTACCAGACGACGGCGACGACGACGACTACTACTACCACCACTGTGATGATGATGATGATGATGATGACGACTGTTCTCATATTTATTCTCCCTACATCTTGAAGCCCCCAAACCGACGAAGGTGCTCAGCATCGACCCGGCCATGCAGCGAGAGTATACGGACGGCGCCTGGGAAGCCTGGAGAGGGAGCGCCGGCAGAGGGCTCCGGGTTCACGCTTCATTTCAGCTTCTTGTTCAGGCTGGGTGCGACATTCGGCGCTCAAGGGCTGCGGGGTGCTGAATGCTGCTTCGGAAACTTCTACTCTGAGAACTGTCCTAGAGAACTAGATAACTGTACACGCGAAGCTCAGCCTGACGTCTAAACTCTAGACCTTAGACCCTTGTTAACCCTCAGCCCTAAAACTAGACCCTGGACCGGGCACCCTCGCGGTCGGTTCGGTTGCAAGCTGAGGTGTGTCGCTGACGACGGGCGAGCAGTTCCCGACCACGGATTTCCTTCTGGGGGCCACTGGGTCGCGGAAGTCAGGTTATTCAGGGCTTGGGGCATCAGGGTAGAAAACGGGGGTGCTTTCCACTGCGACCAATCTGATTAGTGCTATGATTGTCATCATTTGCCTGGGATTTCCCGTATTATCAGAGGAACTGACACCGAAACACAGTATACAGGTAAGAGACCCCCTGTCTTACGTACTCCAAAATCCCTCAGGAACTGTAGGTAGTATCAGTTTACCGTTGCTTCTGTGTGCGAAGAAAAGACATGTCACCCCCAGGACCCCCACCCCAGAATCTCCAACCCTGAGGTCAACAGTCTAGACAAGGGCTTAGGGGCTGAGTAGGTAACCTTTAACCTTTTGGGGCTTATACAAACCTATTATGATTCAAAAGGTTAACCCTTTTTTGGACCAAGGTACTCGGCCCCTAAGAGGGTGTCTCCTGCCATGTCAACGTCCAGCCCACGGCCAGCCCTTCAAGCTGTCTAGGCCCGAGCCCTGAACGTGAAGTCCACGACCATAGCGTTCGAAGCCTAGCCGCTGAGACCCGGGATAGAGCGAGGAAGGACAGCAAAGGGGGTTTACGAATACGACTTCCACTCCTAGTAACGCGGTGTCCTTGTTTCAGGGCTTGGGGCTTCGGTGCGGCTTAGGCCTAGGGCTTCAATCCCCAACACTAAACCTGACCTGCTCACTTGGAAACCGGACCGACCCTCAGACGACAGGGCACCTAGGATGAAGACGTCCCCAAATGGCGGCCCGCAGACCCACGAATGGTTCCCCCCAGGCCTGGCTGCGGAGATTTCTGGAGGCCAACTCTGCTTCGCACTTTTGGGTTTGGGCTCCATGTGGTAGTTGAAAATGGAGGGCTGATAGGGAGAATATAGGGCTGTTTCATCCTGTGCTTTTCGTAGGGTTGCAGGATTTGGCGACTCGGGGTTGAGAGGAGTCGGTTCTGGGCTCTCGAGCTTAAAATGCCGCATTACAAACCTCGAGCTTAAAATGCCGCATTACAAACCTCTCCCGTGGAAAAATTCTCGCAACCTCAACCTCCCCTAAGCCTGTAAACCCTTACGCCTTAAACCCCTAAAGCCCCAAACGCGTAAACCGTAGAATCCTAGAGCACCGCGAGCCTGTGAAACTCGAGAGCCCCAAGTTTCGACACCGCGCAACTCAGGCCCCTGATGCCCGGGGACTGGTAGGGGTTCCTTTTTCTGCGAGTCCTTACGAAACAGATCTGATTCTTTTGGTGGGTTTAATTTAGGGTCCCCCCGCTTGCTGAAACTCTGCACTATATGCGGAAAGTTGGAAGGAAATACATAACTTCAATTCTTGTTGCCACGGGAAGTACAGTACCTGACCGATTTCATGGCTTCTTCAGAACTTTAGAGTGCTGTCATGACAGAGTCGCTTTGGTATCCTCTCTTCGGAGTCTTGACAGGGTGTTCCACACGTCCAAAGCTTCCATTGCAGAAGGTTGGACCGCCTGCCGTGGACTTCGAACATCACGACTGGGTAAAGCACTTGCGCAGGGCCCAGCAGAATAAAATGAGGCACAATGCAGCAAAGAGAGTGTGATATGACATGCTGTCAACAGCCACCGAAGATACGACGGCACAAAGCACATGTGTAAGTGCTGGCAAGCAGGCAGGTTTATAGTAGGGGCGACAGTTGTGGTTCTGATGACAATAGTCAGGCTGATGCTGGTGGTGACTTCATGCTGCCGCGGCTGCTGCTTATACTGACGTTGATGGTTAGAAGTTGTTGCCCTAAATGTTGCGTTGACTGCTACTGTGACTGCTGCTGTTACTGCCACTTCTGCTGATGCTGCCCCTGCTGCTGATACGACGGTATTTCCACCACTACTACTACCACTGCGACTACGACTCCGACTACGACGACGACGACGACTACTACTACTACCACCCTATTCCTACTCCGGCTCCTACTCCTACTGCCACTCCATTACGACGACGACTACTACTACCACACCACTACGACGACGACGACTACTACTCCTCCTCCTGCTGCTGCTGCTGCTATCATCACTACCACCACCACCAGGCTGGACCTGGAGATGAAAAGACCGACTGAGCTCCCAGAGAAGCTCGGCACGGCCGGGGCCTTGGGGAAGCCGCGAGTTGCGAACCTTGGACTTCAGGGGCTTAGGGGGCCTCTGGGGGCTTACGGGGCATCGGGTTCGCGCTTTGGGGTTTGGCTTAGGGTTCAGGGCGTGCGCTTAGGATTTCGAGGTTTAGTTGAGGGTTCAGGGTTTCAGGGTGTTGGGTCTCCGAGCTGAAGCTTCGGTATATGTCGTTGATCGTAACGCTTGACAGGGACTTGAGACAGTGCCCCTTCCCGGACACAACCAACGTCCCTTCTCTGGCGATGCAGAATTCAGCAACACTGCCGTTTGAAGGCTTGCCAGGAGGGGTCTGGAGTCCGGAAGCTATGTGGGGATTTGTTGTGAGGTTCCAGTTTGAGGTACTGTGCTTTGGGAGCAGAAATTTTCGGACAAGAGCGACCTCCTGACACGTCGCGCTGGCTTTCGGCCTGTCCATTGAAGCTTACTTAGAGCTTTTGCATGCTTCGCTCTCAGTCATGTTGCTCCAAAGCCCGAGCGAGGTTGAGAAGGGGCAGATGTCGGCCCCTATTCTATCGCGGAACTCGGTTCGATTTGCTCGGAATCATGCAGCGGGCTCAGATCTGGGATTGATGCTTTTTGAGGAAGGGGCTTGCTTTGCGGAATTCCGCTTCTCCACCCGCCCGAAGTCTCAGCCTTGTAGTCCTAAATCCTCAACCCGAAATCCTAAATCTGCATCGCTGAACCCTAAATCTGCATCCCTAAACCCTAAATCTGCAACCCTAAACCCTAAATCTTCAACCCTAAACTGCCCGAAACCCTAAACCGGGGGTTTGCAGGCTCTAGGGTTGAGGGCCTCGAGCCGTAGCCCTCGACCAGAACTCGCAAGGCAAGCTAGGGAAGCTGTCATTCCATCGAGGGGTTCGCCTGTAAGTGGGCCAAAGCCAAAGGCACACAGTGGCCACGTAGATCGATCAGTCGAGAAGCCAGCAATCATGAATCTATTGCAAACTCCTGCCTGCTCGGCCTCTCATTCCGGCAAAACAAAACCAGTGACCAGAAGCCAAGAAAGGTACAAGCCAGCAGAGTCCAATATGACTTTATCAAAACGCATATTACCCCAAAGCCTGGATCCTCAACCCTGAACCCTGCTACGGACTCCCAGGACACCGTCTACAACGATGTGCCATTCTATGGCCTCGGCGGGTGGGGTCAGGTCCAATCGGGCTTCTAAGTTGTCAGAGTTTCGGAGAGGTGTCTTCAGGCTTCGGAAATTACAAGCTAATAAACAAGTAGCCGAGCTCTTCTCGCAAATGTCAGCCAGGAGCAGACTGCATCTTCACCACTGTCATCATCCGCACCATCTTAATCACCATCGTCATCATCATCATCATCATCACCATCATCATCATCATCATCGTTATCATCGCCATCCGCGACATTAGTATTACCATCGTCGTAGTCAATTCAGGTTCACCACCATCACCACCACCACCACCACCCTTATC